TAGCTCTGATCTGACTGGATCTTTATTTAAATTCTCTTTACAACTAAACCAGTCTGGCCTGTCAGTTCTAACAGATGGAATTAACCGAAACCTTAGCTGATTAAAAAAAATGTACCTTCTCTTTAGCCTAAATTTCGGCCGACATATTTCTTACAAATTGCGACAGGTCTACAACAAATTACAACAAAGGTGCATTAATAATTAAAAAGGCCGGCCATTGGGCATGCAACGATTTTAATATCGTTCCAGCCACAAGCAACTCGTCGCTCCAGTTGGGCTTCCTTAGCAACCAATATTAATTTCTTTGTCATGATTTCTGCGGAATTTAAAGGAAAATTAGCCTCACGTTCGTGTAACCGGGGCGAAAAAGGTGACACATTTGATAGCTACCTTTTCTTTCTCCATAACAAGTCATTTTACACTTTACACGATTTTATCATTTTAACTTCAGTCACACCATCAGGACTGAGCTGAAATAGACTTGCACGGAAAGATTACAAAACTACTACATTTCCTTGTGTTTTTCTCAACAAGGAAATTACTTCATATAACAATAATATCGAACAGTTAATCTTTCAGTTCGGTTTGGGTAAATTCTAGGAATCTATCGCCGTTAACAGAGTTGATTACGAAGACTATTGAGCGAACAACCTCAGTGCGGAGGAAAATTGGCGCCAAGCCTTATGAGGTCACCGAACCTCGAACTTTTGAACTTTTCAATCTTGTTTTCTCTCGTCAAATTGGTATCCAGAGTGTGAGCATCCGTTTCAGTCTGAAATTAACAAACTGATGGTCATAACCGATGATTCCGCTGTACAAAGCGCACGGCTATTAAGCCTGGGTTCCAAACTATATCCAAGCAACAAGCAGCACATGCTCACGCTACCTTTGTTACTCGATTGATGCAGCGTCGTGCTCGAGTATGCCAAAATCGAGCAAGTGAAGCAAAGCGGGCTTTGGTAGCGTGGTATGAACACAAAGTTATACTCTCATGACGTGAAACTAAAAAGTTCCATCCAATAAGAACTTGCGTCTCACACCACCTGTGAACCTTGGTCCTAAGTCCTAATTCCCTCGCATTTTGTATTCTCTGAGGGTCCAAAGGTTCTTGTTTTCTCTCCTAATGCGCCTTTTTTTCCACATTTCAATTCGCTTTGAGTATAAGCCTCACACATTTATCAGTCTTTTACTGAATTGCTTAAGCCTTTCTCACTCGTTCATTAAAGACTTGCATCCTACAATAATGAGTTACGCACGTCCGTGGTAGGCTTTAGTTTACTTTGTTATTTTCTTTAAAACACAGCGCCAACGCAGATGCATCCCATAGCAAACAAGACACACTCCTATCACAAGACCCATCATCATTACAGCAGACTTCTCGTGGAGGATTTTAAACGACATCTGATGGTTAAAACGTAACTGTTTTGCTAAGGTGCGTGCTGACCGATCATGCCTGCGTACGTGAAATATCATTGATGCAAAGCAGAGTGTTAACAGAACACATGGAAGAAACTCGGACATTATTGTCAGCCAAATAAGAGGGACAGGGACAGGTATTGTTTTGAAATAAAACATATAAATAGAGGATATTACACAGTAGCGCGAAGATATGAATTTTATTTTCGAGTGACAAAACAATATTTTACGAACGAGCGCAGCGAGTGACTAAAATATTGTTTTTGCCACGAGAAAATAAAATTCATATCTTCAAGCCGCCGAGTAATGTTCTTTTTATTATATAGACAAAAAGACATCGATAAAATAATAGAGGGAAATGACAGAAATTACGTCATCGATAAACTCACGTGTGAGATTATGGAAAATAAACCACTCGGGTCCCTGATGTAGTTTTTATGAATTTTACGAGTGCAATATTTTCCAGTAAAACACTCGTGTCTATATAATAAAGGGTAATCTTTAGCACGTAAAAACTAACTGGTATAACCCAAGAGAAGAAAATAATTCGGATAATTCGACAGCGAGTCTGAAAGTAATGTATTTTAGAGGATGAACGATGGCAATAAAACGATCCAGTACTAAGACGCATACGTTTACAACAGACTTGTTACTAAGCAACCACCTTATAATATTCACCCAACAGGGGCACCCAACGAGGATATAGTTCAAAACCAATTAACATAGCATTGTTGAACGTATTTTAGTATTTAAACGGTAGATATAGGCATATTTTTATCCCCTAAAAACTTTTCATCTGTTCGGATTTCCTAGCTGAAAGTCTAGTGAGTCGAAAATTATAGGGCTCAAAACTTACCTTTTCGAAAATTTCAGTCAGGAAAAGGCTCCCGAAAATTCTAGGTGGCCTTTTTTAGGGTGAATATCCGTTTAAAATGGGTAATTATACCATTTTGTAGATGTTCGAAAATCCTAGGAGAGGCAGGCAAGCAAGAAATTTTACAACAAATGTTCCGAAACTTCTAGTTCTCAAATCGTCTTCCGAACAGATATTTGCCCGAAAGTTGCCGTTGGGTGCCCCTGACCCAAGATGACCAAGATAGCAAATAATGAGGCCAGTCGCAGGTGTTTGTAATATCGCAGAAGAACAGAGAAGGAATAAAGCTCAAACCAACACAGAAATCCACTACTGCAAGTGAAACAATAAAACTAATAAACGCGTTGGTTTTGGTGCGGAGATCTCGTCTGCTGCAAACGAGGAAGATTGTAAATCCATTTCCAATGATGGTTAGAAATGAAAGAAACCAACTAAGAATCTTGAACCAGGTCTCCATCTTAACTGTTAAAGGAAGTTCTTGTCAACTATGCTGATTAACTAAAAAACTGAGTATTATAATTTACATCTTTTCATGAATTTGAGGGTCACATTTACTAATACCCGTAAATGATTTTACAGACGCCCGCGGCGTTTATTTAATTTTAGGGGTCCAATGGCCAAGAGGGGGGCGTTTAATAGATGTAGGGAGTTTAAAAGAGGAAAGCGTTTGAAGCTCAGTTAAACTAGTATGCTATGGGCGAAAATTCAGTATCAAGAGAGTTAACTGTAAATAGCAGAATATCTGGTCACTCCAACTATTGATACGTCTTAAGGTCTTCAAGCGATCGTATCCCTCTTCCAAATCTCCGACTTTGATCGATGTCAGAATATTTCGGATCACCATATGTTGTCATTATTAGTTTATCCTTATTTTGAGCTTGCCATTGAACAAGATACATCGTTAAGCAAGAAACTGAACCGGCAAATTGAATGATTTTACTCCTTTTTGCCGTTTCCTAGCGTTTCAGAGTAATTGCCGGGGGGGTGTCTATTAGACAGGGGGCGCTATTAGAGAGGGACGTCTAATACAAACTGCCTGACATCTTAATTATAAGAGGGGCGTTCATTAGACAAAGGGCTTTATTTGAGAGTGGGCGCCCATAACATCATTTACGGAGCGTGTTTCTTATTAGTTCTTTAAATCGTCCTTATTGTAATAATTGCACTGTATTATAACTTCCAATATTTTTGACACTATTTGTAATTAGCCATGATGTCGTATTTTGTAATTATCTTTTTTTTAATAAACGGTAGGAAGAGAGAAAATGTGGACTGTCACATGGCAATAGTGCAGACATCTGTCAATTAAACGATAGAAAGCGTCAGTCACGTGTGTTACCAATGATCTCAATTCATTGTTAATTTGGTTCGCTAAATATTGCTACGTTAATGTATTCCTCATTGCGACAGTTCTTTATTTGAAACTACGACAGGTGTTACAAATTACGGCAAAAGTTGGGGAGCAAATTATTAAAAGAAGTGTTTTTTAGTTCCTGTTATCCAGTTAGAAGCGAGAAGGTAAAATTGCATATCAAAAATTAAAAACTATACATTTATCAGGAGCGTAGCAAGCGTAGCTACCTGTACGCACGCACGGTACGCACGTGCTTACCTGAAAAAGTCGAGGGTGGAAAAAATAATTATAAAATAAGATACGAAAACGAATAAGGAAAAAAAAAGCAAAGGATAAGATAGGTAAAATATAACTATTTTACGTTCACAGTTTGGCTCAATTCATTTAACAACGGATTGTTTAATTTTTAGTTTTAATTACTCCCAAATGTCGGCTTCCTTTGGTGGACCAAATATTTAATAAATATAAATGATATATTTTAAGCCTTAAGTTAGGAAAAGCGATTGACGTGCTTCAGTCCATAAATACGAAAAGAAGATAAAGATTCTTTTCAGTTTACACAGTCACGTCATTTCATACAGCTATTTCGAGAACGGTTGTCGGAAGTGCACGCGACAATCCCAAAAGGTATTGTGGGTGGCTTTGAGGGCACTGTTCTTCAAAGAAATTTGAAAGAATGGTACGGGAGGCCACGGACATATTTTTGCGAGTACTAAAGGAAAGCAACAAAAGTAGGTTCGACAGCTTCAGTCGTTACGAACAGTGTATTGATCATATCCCATATTACCTTTCGGGATTGTCGCATGCGCATTTCTTCCGACAACCTTTCTCGAAACAGCTGTATACAGTAAGAACGCTTCGACTTACAGTAATCTCACCTCTTGGGACATTGGGCAGGGGGGTGGCCGGGATAAGGGCATTTGGAGAATTGTGCGTACCTCCGAAAAAATCCTGGTTACGCCCCTGTTCATATGAAATGCAACATGAAATCACCTGATGGTTAAAACGTAACTGTTCTGCTAAGGTGCGTGCTGGCTGATCATGCCCGCGTGCGTGAAAAATATCATTGATACAAAGCAGAGTATTAACAGAGCACATGGAAGTAACTCGAAGAGGATATTACACTCAGCCATATAAAGGGGACAAAACATGGTTAGGAACTGTGTAGCGCTGATAAGTTGATTACAATTAAAATTTGTCTTTGTGTTCTTAGCGCTAAAATGTCTGAAAAGCCAGACGTTTCGGGACTACTGTCCCTTCATTAGTGGAAGATGCCGTTACACTGAACGCGCGTCATTTTATTCAAATGTGACAACATTTGAAGCACGCGCTGGAAGAGTTCGCTCCAATAACATTGAAGTCAATGTTTATGCCGCGCGGCTGTAGAGTTTTGCATTTAAAAATTAGGCGGCCCTCCGCTCTACGTCTGTCCCTGGTGTTGTGAAGACCCGCTCGAACAACAGCTACCATCATATTATCAGTTGTGTGACCGGGGGTGGAAAAATATTTAGCAACGGGTAGGTCAGCTTTCTTTGAGACAGATCTGAGGTGTTCGCAGAACCTGTCCCCAAGCCTACGTCCGGTTTCGCCAACGTACGACAGAGTGCATGCCCGACAAGTTATGATATACACGAGGTTACTTGACGTGCATGAGAACCTCTGCCGTATGGTCAGAGGTCCACCGGGGGTGTTGATCTGGGAGGCTGGGTTGGTATGGGCACAGGTCTTGCATCGTGGACGACGGCAGGGAAAAGTTCCATTTGGTTCATCCTCAGTGTTTGCGCCGGATTGAAGGTTGCTGCTGACCAAGGAATCACGCAGGTTGGTGTCGCGGCGGTATGCACCGAGTACTCGCGAGTTATCAAACAGTTCCTTAGTTTCAGGGTCAGATTTTAAAAGGTCGAAGTTTCTTGATAGGATGTTCTTTACATGGTGGTTTATGGGGTTGTATGTTAAGATTAAGGGGATGACTTCTCTGTTGGATTGTCCGTCGTTAGGTGGTCGTAAGGCTGTATCTCGGGGGACAGTGTCAACGTGTTGAAGGGCTCTATCTACAACCGCTAGTGTATAATCACATTGCAGGAAGAATGATGCCATTTCTTTGCTTTTGGTCTTGTAGTCGTTCTCATCACTACATATTCGTCTGAGGCGTAGAAACTGGCTGTAGGGGACCGAGTTCTTGCATCGGACGGGATGTGACGGAGTGTATGTGATATATGAGTGTGAGTCGGTTTCTTTGTAATGGATGGAAGTAGTTAGTCCTTGGGGTGTTGGTTTCAGCAGGAGATCTAGAAAAGGCAGTTGATTGTCACTGATGGCCCAAGTGAATTTAAGGCTTGGATGAAAGTTGTTGATAAATTCAGCAAAGTTGTCAAGTTCGTTTTTGCTGCAGGAAGCTGCACCTGCGATGTCGTCAAAATATCGTTTGTAGAGGTCAGGCTTCTTTCCGGGATACTGTTGGAAGATTTGTTATTCGACGTGGCCGACGAACAGACAACCGTAGTTCGGTCCTAGCCTACTGCCCATTGCTACACCACCCGTTTGTTGGAAGTAATCTCCGTTGAAACTAAAGCTGTTAAGTGTAAGGAACAGCTCAGCAAGGCGTACTAAAGTATGTGAAGGTGGTTCCTTTACTGGCCGCTTTTTTAAGAAATGTCGCATGGCCAAAAGGCCATCGTTGTTGGGTATTACTGTATATAGTGACTTGATGTTCATAGTGAACACGAAGCGATCAGGGCCAGTAGTAGGATAGCGAAAGCACTGTGCAATGTCGAGCATATGGTTGGTGTCTTTGACGTAGCTGGGTAAACTGCGAACTAAGGGGGAAGTGATCTGGTCGAGGTAAGTTGCAAGGAGTTCAGTGGGGCAGTTGCATGCCGATACGATAGGTCTCCCTGGGTTTCCTGGCTTATATATCTTGGGAAGGAGGTAAAACCTGGAAGTACGAGGGTGATATACGATAAGATTGGAAGCTGAGGCAGGGAGTTCACCCTTTGCGATGGCGTCTTCAACAACCGAAACTACTTCCGCTTGATGTTCCATTGTCAGGTCATGATCCACACGTTGGTAAAAATTGGTGTCAGAGAGTTGCCGCTCAGCTTCCTGTATGTAAAGGGCACGATCCCAAACTACAACGGCTCCACCCTTATTGGCGGGTTTGATTGCTATGTCAGTTCGTTGCTTTAGAGCGACGAGGGCGTTTAGTTCCTCGCGAGACAAATTCATTTTGGGGACGCGTTGCTGGAAATTGAGTTGGCCTACTTCTTTGCGACATTTGGTAATGTAATATTCAAAAGCAGCAAATCTTCCTGGGGGTGGGGTCCATGTGGATGTTTTGGGTTGCAAGGGTTGGAAGCTGCCGTTAACCCGGTTGGATGTATGAGGCTGGTCAATATTCTCGTTTTGTTCTTTCTCCGTTTCCTTTATGTGGAAATGAGCTTTCAAGTGAAGATGACGGTAAAAGCTCTCGCAGTCCGCTTTAGCTGTATATTCGTCACCGCGGGGCCGCGTTGGAATAAAGGAGAGGCCTCTGCTGAGAAGGGATCTCTCGTTCTCAGTGAGAGTGAGATTTTCAGGGATAGTGACCACGAGTCTGCTGTTAGGGGGGTCAGCGACCTCGTTAAATTGCGTTGCTGTGAGTCCCAGTTCAAGCAACTTAACCCCTTTGGCCCCAAGGGGACACCCATTGTTTTGAAATACTGAACACACAAAGGATAACTTTTAGCGCATTAAATCTAACTGTTAGAACCCAGAGACGAAAACTCATAGACAAGTTACTAAACAAACATCTTGTACAATTCACCCAAGATCGCAAATGCTTAATAGACCATTCGCAGGTGTTTGTAATGTCGCTCAAACCAACACAGAAATCGGCCATGACAAGTGAAACAATAAACGCATTGGTTTTCGTGCGGAGATTTCTTCTGCTGCAAACGAGGAAGATTGTAAATCCATTTCCAGTTATGCTCAGTAATGAAAGAAACCAGCTAAGAAACCAATACCAGGTATCCATCTGTTTTAACTTAAAGGAAGTTCTTATCAACTATAGATTACTAGAAATACGTGTATCGCAGAACGTTGCGAGGGTTGGTGGAGAGGCCCATTAAAAGTCAGGGATGGTAGGGCGGGAGAGAACTGGAGTAAATTGTTACTGACTTGGGGGCTTGAGGGAAGGCGAGTCCTACTATTGGAAGGTGAGATGTACTAAATCTTCTTTTGGTTAAAGAAAATTTGAACCCAGCACTCTGGTTGTAAAAAAAATTTTCTGGGATTTACATAGGGTTGCTGTTGTTAGGAGAGGTTAGCCAATGTTGCATACGTCTCGTACCCTCCAACATAATTATGTAATTATAATCAAAAGCAAATGGGTGTGATCCCCCGTGGATAACTGCAGGCTAAATAATATGCAATTGCATTTGCTTAATAAAAGCTAACTCATGCCATCTGCAATAACAAGTATAAGAATTCTTTTTGAAGTGTGTCAGTCGTATTGAGAGGGATAAAATGGTCGGAGATAATTAATGCTGCAGTGAAAGAAACAAGTTAACGCCATTAATTATAAAGTGAACCACAGAAATGAGAGTGTTTCGGCTTCAAGAAAGTGTAATCTCACATGTGTTGCGTGTTTGTTTCGACTTTCCGACTCATGTTACATGTTATGCGTGCCAGTCTCGACTTAGGACTTAAAGAAAGCGTGTACTGTCGCAATTTGTAACTAGTAATAGTTGACACTACAGCTGCCCCCGTTCTTTATATTGTCGGTCAATAGTATTCTTGCTCGTTGTGTAGCTCTTTGAAATATACCGATTCATAATGAAGATTTTCACACATACTCCACACAATAGGTGATTCCATACAATAGGTGAGATAAATACAGGAAACGCAAGGTTTCATGCACAGTTTCAGCTCGATTTACACAGCTTTGATCAAAACATTTTCAGTTTCGAGAATAGTTTATTCTAAACCATAAGAAAAGATTTAATTAAAAGTTGAATTATTCACTATTTCTCTTTCCCTTTTTACATTCAGTTCATTTTATTTGCGGGAAAGTAAGCCTTAGAAATTAACAGGACGTTTGATCGATTCACGCTAGCGCATTCTAGTCTTATTTGAAACTTAATAACGGAAGAACATCTGTGAGCAGGGAATAAGTCAGCACAGATTTTGATTGTCGGCGAATTTCTGTAAATGTCCATCAGTCTGCTAGAGATAAGCTAGCCGTTGTTCACTCGTCTTGCTTGTTTGGGGCTGAGTTTTATTCCGGTCAAAGAGAGAGAAAGATTGTCTGGTAAGGTTTCCAATATAAATGTGATCAAAGATTTGTGAACTCGTGTCTGGCAAACTCTCCAAGCCTTTAATAGGGTATCATTTTTTACCTTGTCGGCCTTGTGTATCGATCTTTGGTTTGATCCTTAGATGAGGTAACTCAAATAGTAATGGATGGTTTATTCCACCCTTTCCTTTCTTTTGTGGAAAAACGGTAGACCTGAAGAAGAATTGCAAGGTGTTAATTACGAGTTGTATATACGTACTGAAGGGAATTTTTTTACTATCCCCACGGTATTTCCTTTAGAGGACTCCATATAGAAAAAATTGTTTTAAGATGGAATGAGTAATCCTTTTGTTCCTGTATGGGACCAAATCAAGTGAGAATAATAGAGCAAATGGCCAGCCGGCTCAGTGTAAGACCCTAAGTAAGTTTTATAAAAACAGATACATGCAAGGTGATTGGCCAGCGACTAATTGGATTTTGTGTTTATGACATGCTTCTGTTGTGGTTCGACAGTTTGCCACTGGTGACGTTTTTTTTTTATTTGCAGTAAACGTTTTGAATCTTGAGGCCTCGTTTGATTAAGTTGGCCCAAAATATGGAAGCCACTATTACTTCTTTAAGATTGCGCGTTAGACAAGGACGGTGCACCACGTGTTGTGTCGACCTGTTATAAGATCTAGCAGGAAAGCTTGAACTTTCCTGGTGTCCTTATTCGAATGGCGTAGGATGAATGTTAAGATTTGTGGAAATTAAATGCTTTTTAATAATGGCTCGTTTGTGTCTAGTGTGTCTAGATCCTGTACTCTGACAATGCCCTGTCCAGAGGCACATCCCCGTATTGGCCATATAAGGAAGTACACCCGTCGGGTAACCATTGAATGCAAAACACCTAGTACAATAGCAAGGTTTAAGAATACAGCATTTCGTAAGTCACATAACTAATCAACATTAATTTTAAAAAAATGTTTAGGACTGTGAATAAAGTTAAATGGTTTGAATGAACGGAGATGTTACGTGCTAGCAGACGTCATCATCTTTGTTTATGAAGTACCATGCATATTTTGACATTATATTAATGTTTACGAAGTAAGTCGAATCACTCTCAAATTATTATTACAAAGTGCGATGGAATTAATACAATTTGCGACAGCTTAGTTTATTACAAAGTGTGATGGACTGTTATTACAAATTGCGACAGCTTTTTTATTACAAAGTGCGACACGGTCTATTACAAAGCGCGAGGATTATTACAAATTGCGACAGTAAAAACGTGTTATGTTACATGTGCAGCCGATGGACTCCATCGGACGACTTTCCACCCCTTCTCAAACTATTGCAATTGTTTACACTTCCGGTTTCATCTTATGGCTAGACTTCCGGTAATTCAAGTGGACTCGACTGTACTTCCGGTTTCATTTTTCGAACAGACTCCATGGGACTCCAGGCTTTGCCCACTGGAATCTAGTCGAGAGTATTGGACATGTGTAGCAGTTGCTACTACTTAACTCACAAGCTCAACAATGAGGGTCCCCACTGTAGGGTTCTTCAATCCTGTAATCCCGACCCAAAATTTCGTGTAATCCCGTAGCCCCGAGGGTTATTTCCGGCATTCTAACTCTCACGCATACTTTCCATCCCGAATCTTGTCCGATTTTGCTTTAAAATCCCGAATCCCGAGCAAATAAGGGAAATCCCGGATCCCGAAAAACCTATCAGAGACCCTCAACAGTGATCTTACCCGATTCATGCAGAGTATTTCTTTTTTTAACAGTGCGCCAAAAGTGAAACAAAGGCTCTACTAGGAGGATGTGGACATAAATTTGAATTATACTCTTACGATGTCATACTAAAAAGTTCCATGTGATGTGACTTTTGCCTCCCTCATGACTGGGTGAATCTTGATAGTCCTTTCCCTAGTATTTTAAATTCTCTTAGCGTACAAATGTTCTTGTTTTCTTTCCTCATACGCCATTTTCCAAATTTCAATTCGCTTTCAGTCCAAGAGTCACAGATTTATCAGTCTCTTCTCAAGCCTTTCACCGTCTTAAAAGACCTACATCCTACAACAACGAGTTACGCGTACGCTCGTAAAATGGTAGGCTTTTGTTAACATTACTAATATTTTCTTTAATTAAAACACAGCTCCAACAAGTCTTTTAAACTCTTTCTTTATGTCTCTTTTGAAAAAGGCATAAACCAGAGGGTTAATGACTGAGTTTAAAACCAAGAAAGGAATTTTGTAGTTTTCATCATTACATGAGGTGGTGTGGAATAGTGTAAAACTGCAACGCAGATACATCCCATAGCAAACAAGAAACACTCCTATGACAAGACCCATCATTATTACTGCAGACCTAGGCCTCTCGTGATGGATTTTAAACGACATCTGATGGTTAAAACGTAACTGCTTTGCTACGATGCGTGCTGACCGACCTTGCCTGCGTAGGTGAAATATCGTTGATACAAAGCAGAGTATTAAGACAACACTCGGTAGGAACTCGAAGAAAATGATATTCAGCCAAATACAAGCGGGGGCAGGAATTGTTTTGAAATAAAACGTATAAAGGGTAACTTTTAGCACATTAAAACTAACTGGTAGAACCCAAGAGAAGGAAATAGCTTGAATAATTCGAGGGCGAGTCATAAAAGTAATGTATTTTAGAGGATGGATGATGGCAATAAAACGATCCAGTACTAAGCTGCATAAGTTTACAGCAGACGTGTTACTAAACAGCAACCGTATGTATGTGATCCATAATTGAGACCTGTGGCAGGTGTTTGTAATAATGTCGCTGCAGAAGAACATTGAAGGAATAACGCTCAAACCGACACAGAAATCCGCAACGGCAAATGAAACTATAATTTCCCCAATTCTGATTGGCTAAAAGCACACACATAATTCACCATAACCAGTAACTGATGACCAAATTTGGAAGAATTTTGAGTTTAACGA